TTTGTATTGAGATTGTAGTACACCACAAGAGTGGGCTTGGAGCCGTGACTACTTTACACCACACCCAGAGACCATGGGGAACAGAAGTAACCACCCTCCAGAAGGAAGGACAGTGTCAGCACCAATTCAGAGATGATTGGAGGATCTGCAGCTGAGTGATACATAAATAAGATACAGTTTTGTTAATAGTTAAGGTACTTGAATGCATTTTTAAGATTTAACTCCTGAGTTTAGTGTCGCTTTAACTTCCTGTCCTGTAGACATACCTCCCTCATTGGCAACCAAATCCATCTGGTCCCTCTTTTCTCCTCAGTTTTCCCCCTTTTTGGCCTTACGTACAGTTTTCTATAAATCTATTATTTAGCTATCAAAAGTGTTTTACTGCAATAAACCTTTTATCTAGCCTTTAAATAATCCCATTTGTTATTTTGAGCCAAAATAAAGGAAAAATAGTGATGAAAAAAAGCAATTTGAATGTGTCCTATTTTCCTATCTCCCAAAGATATACCTGTAGACCAGGGGTGGGCAACTCCAGCCCTCCAGCTGTTGTGGAACTACAGCTACAAGTCCCAAGACTTGGAGGTATTGCAAGACTCGGACAGCCAAGGACATGACTCCCAGAGGCAAAGGCATGTTGGAATTTGTAGTGAAAACACAGCTGGAGGGCCAGAGTTGCTTACCCCTGCTGTAGACACAAGAGGGATTGAAAGCAAATCTCTCTAAAGGTGGCCATACACTTTACAACCATCGCAAGACATTAGTCTTGCGATGGTTGTAAAGTAATTTAAAAAACGTACGATCTGCCTATCTTGGACAGGCAGATCGTACTTGCGATCATCGCAAGCCGCCCCCCTGAGGGGCAGGCTTCCGATGACCGCAATGCTGAACGGGCAGTGTGCACGTGCGCACACCGGCCCGTTCGGCATTTTCCTTCGAGCATCATTCAAACCAGCCGAAAATCGGCTAGTTTTCTAGCATGCTCCTTAGACAAAAGACGTGCGACCGTACAGTAGAAACGGTCGCACGTCTTCATTCACACTGCATGATCGCGGAATTTCCCGCGATTCTCGTGCAGTGTATGGGCACCTTCAAGCTGGCCATACACCTTACAATTATCTGATGGAAAAGGTGCAACAGATTCCTCCATCTATACTTAACTGTGTAGATGGATTAATCTCCACCTGGGCCAATCTGTTGCACTTTTTCCATCTGACCACAGAAAATCTGCAGATAATTGTAAGGTGTATGGGCACCTTAAAGCGAGGGAAAACCCATCACAGACAGTTTGCACCAAAAACAACGGCCCTACATTGAAAGATATTTCCTCTATATCTGTATTTTGCTGTTGGGTTGAAGCTTCCCCCTTTAAAGTTACAGTATATTTATATCTGCGATTTGTATTTTGCTGTAACAGCTTCATAAGGTCGCCATTAAAGAGGAACACATCATTTTAAAACCCACACGGGGGCCTCCTCGATTTCTTGAATTTATGGAATGCACTGCTGCGTGCCCTTAATGAGTTTCAAGATGGTATTTCACCATCATTACGATAGAGCGCGCACACACAAGACACTTGTAAATAAGGACAACTTTGTACACGATGGGAAAATAGCATCTAGAAAATACAGTCACCGCCAACTTTGCTTGCTGTGAATTTTATAACGGGCAATAAAGAAACAGAAATGACTAGAGATTGTGTCTTCCTTTTTGGTACGGATAGTCGTGGCACGTTACTAGTCTCATACTATATGCACCAAACATTAATAATGCACATTCCCAGCCCCCTGCTTTACAAAGTGCTCATTAATTGATGCTGCGAGAGCACCTTTCAAAACATACGGTCAGAATGAGTTGTCATACAATGCTGCCATTAATGGCTTGCTTCCCTTTTCCCAGAGCAGATGACAAAGCTTAAAGGCATAAAACCCAGCCCTAAAATCATGTGGAGGAAAAAAAAACAGCAGGTGGTTAAAATCCAGCCTGTGACATCACCCAGCCCCTCCTTCCTGCTATAAATCGGTACAGAAAGCCTGCTAAAATAGAGTGTCAACAATAACCAGCTGTCTCCGGTAAAATGCATTTGAAAGCATAAAATGACCTGCCTGCACCTCTGGAAATAAAACAGCCACAGGCTATGCCTTTATGGCCGTGTCCTCGGTTAGCACAGGTTTGCTACACTTATGGGGGAAAAAAAAGGAAGGTGTATAAAAATACCGTACAGGAACAAAACACAGGAAATGAAAGATATGCATCTTTAGAGGCCAAATGAACTTTCAGTTTAATCAGCTAAATACATTTCAGGTGCATCAAAAAATACGGTTTGTTGTCTTTGGAAAGCAACCACAGACTGAACAGAAAGCCTTTGCCCTGCCAGCATGCGGCAGAGAAGGACCCTTGGTCTCTGTGGGGAAGCAGTGATCTCTCTGCAGAGGTCCGACAGACCCCCTGCTTAGTCGGAGCCAGAACTCCCCGATTAGCAGAGAGCATGAGTTTTGCTGACTGCACAGCTATGGGTTTGACTAGCAGGTGTTGTGTCAGACCTCTGCAGAGAACACAAACAGACATTTCCCACCACACTCACCAGCCAGCCTGCGAAAACAAAATAAAAAAATACAGAGTCTATCTACTAAGGTTAAAAACAGAGGTTTTAGTTGCAAAGCTTTTGTAAAACATGTGAAAGCCGCACTGCCACATCAAGGCCCCTCTGCAGAGAAACCACTGCTTTCCAACAGAGAGTAAGGCCTAGTTCACATAGGCTTCAGCCTGTATAAGAGCTATTAGAACAGCGAGCTTTGACAGAGCATTTGCAGAGTTTTGGGCAATATTTGTTGAAGCTTTTAAAGCACCAATCATCTCCATTTTGGGAATGTTAAACAGATCTTAATGGGAGTGCTGACTGCCTCTTTAAACAAGCTGCAAGCTTGTTGAAAGCCTGTTGAATACTGCTAGCAGCTTGTTTAAAGTGACAGTCAGAACTCACACTAAGATCTGTGTTTAATATTTCCAAACTGGATCTGAAGGGTGCTTTATTCCTTTCGCTGCCAGAGCCGTTTATCTGTGCTTCATCAGCTTCTTTTGGGGGGTCCTAGGTGACATTAGGGGTCTTGGAGACCCCTGATGTCTCCATAAAGAGGACCTATCACATAGGGGGGTTCACGTGCGTGGCAAACTTTGCTAAGGGCCCATTCACACCAAGGCCGTGCATTGAAGGAGAACTATGAGATGAGTGATTTCCACTCACCTCATAGTTCTAGCCAACCTGTGACAATGAGACTGTCACAGGTCGGCTCAGTAGATCGGGAGGTGAGCGAACAGATACCGGCGTTCGCTCACCTCTCGATCCTGTCACGGCTCTCTGCCGTGACAGGAGAGGGGCTAGATTCCCCCCTCTCCGCTCCGCCAGCGCTGACTGGTGGAATGGACGGGGGAGGGTACAGCTGCCTCTGCCTCTAGATAGGCAGAGCCAGCTGTCACTCATGCAGTTGGGCGGATCTCAACATCGATGTCGGGATCCGCTCCGGCGTCTCAGTATACCGCGAGCTGTAGCTCGCGGTATACTGAGCTTAGGGTAACGGGAGGACGCTAGTTTGTGTCCTCCCGTTACCCTAAGGAGAACTATGGGGAAAAGCCCTGACCCCATAGTTCTCCTTTAATCGCATTGGTACCACACAACGCACCTACCGTGCATTACAGTGCGGCAGGTGCGTGGTGTTGCCATTCATTTGAATGGCACCCCAAACGCACCTCCCGGCTACAATGTCCTAGCCCGCACTGCAAGGCATGCTTCCGCATTGCCATGAGTTGCGGTATTGCAGTACCGTGCGTTGCAGCACGGGTGAGTGCATTGCAGCCAGGAGGTGTGTTTGGGGTGCCGGTCAAATGAATGCCAACACGGTAGTTTATAAAAAATGGAGCAGCTGTGCAACCAATCAGCGTCTCTCTTTTATTTTTAACTCTTAACTGAACAAACCGAAGTGAAAAGCTGATTGATTGCCATGGGCAAATGCTTCCTGCTGCTCCACTTTTGATAAATTGCCCTCATTTTGTTTTATTTCACCTGAAATTAATTAAGCTCATGTAAACAGCAGTTCAATTGGGCTTTAAAACATTTGCTCTTTTGTTGTTTACATTTCCTCAGACAACTAATCTGTATCCCTTCCAATCTGGAAATCTAGTGTGTTATGCCAGGTCCAGGAGGCAGTGTTAAGTGCCATCTCAGCGCATCACACTGTTTACTTTAACTTTATTTTGGAGTGTATAAACTGTACGCTCTATTTAGTTCCCTGTGCAGTAGCGCGGTACGCTGTGCTCTGACCTGCAGTGTCGTCCAAGGGGCAGCATGCAGAAATGCAGCATGTCTGCAAATGTTTGTAGTGCGCTGCATCGCACATTACACCAGCTTTGAATGGGGCACATAGAAAACAATTGTTTTCTATGTGTCCTATTAGTGACTGGTGTTGTTTAGTTGCTGAAAAATGCCAGTCACCACACATAGTATGAATGAGCCCTTAAGGTACGATTCAGCTCCAGTTTGGGAATGTTAAACATTTCTGAAGTCCGGGATAAGCAATATTGTCTAAATAGAAGGAGGAATATGTAGAAGAGCCATATGTATACTGTGAACGCAGTGAAAAAGAGGTAAAATTCCTTCATAGAACGTGAACATTGACTCTAACATTTGTTGTGTTCATTATTTTCAACCTTCAAAGGCAGTTAAACCTTTTCATAGATTTACAAGTGAAAGAGACAAACGAAATGTAAATAATCTTACCAATGCATGGAAATGTAATAAAAAACGTATTGCTATGTATAGCTTGTTATGCAAGTACAGTTTGATCTTATTATCCCATTGTTTACTCTCTGTAGAATGCTTGGTAGCCAGAGATCATGTGATCTGGGCCACATACGGTAGGTTGGGTACTGAGGAACTCATAGCAAGTGCTTTTTGCATACAATAGAAAGTGGTAATGCCCTACTAAATCATGAGACTTGTGAATTCGAATGATAGATGCACTTTAATATTCATGAGATGCTGCAAAATACATCCAGGTTAGTTCTCAGATGTCCACTCTCAAGCAGTCAATTCCATAAATGTAGCCAGCATGTCAAGTCGTACGTCTGCTACACTGCACTGTACCATATTTAGAAGGTCTTCTGAGACCTGGTTAGCATCATAAGTAATGATTGCAGGCTGCCAAAACAATGATAATATGCTGTACACTGCACAGTATTAGCCTATCATTCTCACTTCCATCAAGGCGATGCCAAGACTTTGAAGTTACTCGCATTCAAGTGAGATTAACTCCTTACATCCAGTTTCCCAGAATTCATTGCGGAATCTCAGGAGGCAGAGGGCTGCAGCTGGCCCTTATACACATACTCCAAAGCAGTAGCAATTATCCTCATGTCCTTTTCAATGCTTCGTGCCCAGTTCTCCACATCGCCAATCTCCTACAGGAAAAATAAAAACCCCATAGAATAAGGTTAGTCTGGATAGGACAGCTTTGCTTTAACTGAAACGAGTGCCATCATATAAACCATGTGTAATCATCTGTGTTTAAAGTTTAGTGCAAAATTATTATGAGGGATTTACATAGTGCCAGCAGATTGAGCAGTGCTTTATAAAATAAAGGGAGACATTGGGAATACAATACAATTCCGTACACAAGGATTAGGAGGGCCCTGCTCACAAGAGCTTACAAAAAAAAATGTATCACCAGTAGGATAGCCGGTATATTTACTGGGAATTGGATACTCACTAGTAGAGTAGCATTACATTGACACTTTTTAAAGGACAAAGCTTTAGGCTATGTTCACAAGATGAGTATCTATCTACTAACTGCATCTGTGAAAATAGAAGTATCATGTGGACTTTTTATCATCCTATATGACAAGAAGCGGCTCAAACTTGCACTGCACCTCAAATAACATTTCCATAGCGACATCATTGCTCCAAATACAAAGCTTTTCTGGTTATGTCCAGTAGGTGGAGGCTTTCCCCCCACAAAGAAAGACAACAGAAGGGAACCTTATATACAGATTTTTAAAGTTAAGTTTCTATTTCCACTTTTTTGTTACCTGTTGATATTTGTGTAATTTCTTTTGTTTGCTGTTATTGAATATGCTGTAATTCATTTTAATATTTTCTCTTGTGTTGGTTTGGGTTTTTTGATGTTCACTAACCTGTTTAAATAGCATATTTACCCTAACAACTGTTGTACTTCGTTTTGTTTTGAGTTTAGCCATATGTTAGTATGCACAGCAGCAGACATGTGTGCCAAACCAATCCCCCCCAATGCTGCATGTCTCCCTCACAGTGCTTCCATCTTCTCTCTGGTCTTCTACCAGGTTTCAAGTCTTTGGGTTACTTAATTGACAGGTGTAAATCCTGCACATGTCCACAGCAGTTACTTCATCTTTGCATGCCAAACATGTGCACTGAGGTGTGCATACGCCACTCAGTGTAGATGAAAAAGAACATTGCTGAATAGCAGCAAGAAGCTTTTATGGTAAGAGACTTACACAGTCACTTACACTTGCCTGTCTCTATTTGTTTGGTTTAATATAGGATTGCTCTATTTGTTTGGTTTAATATAGGATTGCTATGTAGCAACATGCAATGGGGACATGGGAAGTAACATCACACATGCGTGGCTTCACGTTCAGAAGCCATGAGCGAGAGGGGCTCCCGCATTCAGACCCGCTCTCCATCCTGATTATGGGGGCTACCTTTAACTGTGGTATATTTTTACCTCCTTTGATGGTGGTGGATTTGACTGGTGGAATTGTGGGGTTGGTTATATACAATTAGAGGATGTATTTATTGTTATTGGTTTACTGGCCATGTTCGTCACCTTCGGGGAACCTTCATGTCTCCGAAACATCTGTACATTTGTTTCCTTTATATGACATGCAAGTAAAGTAAAACTATATTTGATGATAGGCGTGCTGGTCATTTTCTGAAGGTGTGTTCCTGCTGAGAAGATTCACTCTCTGAATTTGTCCTGAAGACCACAGTTACTGGGACAGAATGATAGGAACCCCAAAATGTTTACTGATGTCACCAGAACAGGAATAGGGAGAGATGTTTTGGTGACAACTGTCTTATAGAGAATTGACCCTTAATCTGTGAGTGGTGAGCTTTTCTCTCACTCCCAGTGTTTCCAGTAAATCTCACCAACAAGACACCGGACATAAAAAAGGTGAAAAGTTGAAAAATGGCCTGGCCAGGAAGGGGGTCTAAACACCTGGTCTTGAAGTGGTTAAAGAAGAACTGAAGCCAAAACATTTTAGTTTTGAATAGAGTAAGGGTGGGTTATAACCCATTAGCTTTTTTTGTCACCTGTGTCCCATTGGGGGGGATTTCCTTTTACTTCCTGTCTGATGGCCACAAAAGGAAGTGAGAGAAAATCCCTCCAAAGTGAGGAAAATCTCTGGACCACAAATAGAGTTCCCATTGGAAGTTTGCCTATCTATTCCTGTTCTGGTTCTTTTACTTTCAGAATTTACAATCACCAGGACAATTCAAGAGAGTGAATCCCTAATGGGGATACGGACAGCAATAAAAATATTCCATACGTTATCCAAAACAAAAAAAAGGTCTAGCTTTAGATATACTTTAAATCAAACAGAAAGTTGATTGTAGTTTGAAAATATTAAGTGTATGCCATTTTCATTTTACCTTCTACTTCTTTTACTTGCCATTAAAAAAAAGTATCTTATAAGAAAAAAAATACACACGCACTAGAAAACCCAACAATTGCACTGTATCCATGTTTATTTCCACTACGAATACAAACACATTCTAGTGTCTCTTAACAGCAGGGGTTCATAATCTATATGGGTTTCATCAATTAGTAGCCGTGTTAGATATATCCTCACACATTTACATTCTAAAGTCTAGCAAGAGGAACATCACCGTTTACAATTACTTTTAAAATAGAATTTCCAAGAAAATTGCAGATATGTGTATTGTTACAGAGCAGCTCCTGGGCTTTGACACCACCTGGGGAGAACAAGAGGTACTGCATTACCACTATAGTAATGTAAAGTGGCTGTTGATGGAACTTTAATCTGCTAAGAATTACAGCAGAACTGAGTTTTTTGGTGTTATCTACTATTCTACTACTTACAGCTATTTATACCACCCCACCTTGCAACACCAGACGATGTCAAAACGCAGGAAAGAGGGCACACCATCCTCGCAGAGAGGTACCCCGTCTTTACAACACTTTTTCACCTCGATACGGAACAGGACCCACGGTCGAGACCCATCCAACATGGCGTCAGACCCTTGCCTTCCAGGCTCACCAATGTTCGCTCTCTACCGCACCCAGCGAGACCCCATATCTATGATTCAGATTCTACGGATGCCGATCAGTACCCATCCCGCAAGCAGCCGACTGATGTCCCACAGGAATTCTGGGCTCTTTTGAAATACCTTCCTACAAAGGAGGATTTTGCGGTCCTGGTCACTAGAGTGGAAGCGGCGCTCCAACGAGACCTGCGTAAGGTACGACAGGAGGTCCAAGCGGTCTCCACAGAGGTTGCCTCAGTGTCCAGCACATGTGCCACCATCGACGCCCGTGTTCGTATCCTGGAGCAAAAGCAGCCAGGGCCTTCCCCACATCTTGCGTCTCTCCAACTGCGTATGGAGGACTTGGAAGATCGCAAGAGACGCCAGAATGTGCGGATTCGGGGCCTTCCAGAGGCGACCACTCCTTCAGACCTTCGCTCCACTGTGCAAGCGGTCCGACACCATCCTACTAGACAGAGTGCACCGCACTCTCGGCCCTCCCTCTACACGTTTCCCGCCCAAGAGAGGTCGTATGCCGACTCCAATATTACTCCATGAAGGAGGACATTTTACGCCAGGCCTGGCTAAAGAAACCTGTAGAATTTGACAGGCTGCAAATCCTGCCGGACCTTTCTCGTAACACTTTGAGACGACAGGCCCTGCTGCGCCCTCTCCTTTCGGTGATCCTACAGGCCGGCGCCTCCTACAGATAGGGATACCCCATCCGCCTGCATGTGCGCAAGGATGGCTCCTCGTTCATGGTTCACTCTCTCGATGACGTGCCTGCCCTCTGTGAGCTGCTCCAAGTACCTCCGGTACATCTCCCGGGCTGGCTAGCCTACATTCTGGATGAAACCCTGGCGACCCCGAAGCACCGTCGGACCCGCCGTGTGTCCTCTACTGTTCCGCCCGACCGACGCCCCATGGATTCCCCGGGGTCCGCAGAGCCCTGAGACGGATGTGGCTCTCCCTCCTTCCCGGCTCAGCCAGTCTCTACCCAAAACTGTGAGTGGCTCAGCTTAGCTCGGTTATGGGATTGGCAGACAGCTAGCTTACCTTTTCCGAGACCTATGCATGATGTTCTGGACGCTACGGTTGACCCGCCACAGTCGAACCCCTGGCCTCTACTCTACACCCTGGCTATATAGGGGAGGCTTTTATGGACCCCCCAGAGCGGATGGGACTCCAATCGAGGGCTTCACGACGGCCAGTCCGTATCCTTCTACCGCTGGTGCCCCCTGGATTTACTCCGAGTCTTAGCGCAATTCTGTCAGCCTGCTTGGTAGCTCGACTGCGGATAGACAAGACTCGGGCTTGCATAGACTCACCAATCTGCACTGTTTATCTGAACAGAGTGTTGGGGCTCCGGCACTCTGGGTTGATGTCGAGCTAATTGCTCGGAGCGGTATTCCCTCGTTTTTTCTTTTTCTATAGATGATTTAATTGTTTGTTCTTGACTTCCTTATGTTACTGGAGGCCCACCGCCGCGGTGCAAGATACCGTGTCATGGGGGATGGGACGGCGTGGGTACGCAGCCCTGGGAGTCGGGTTCATACTCCATGTCTGATACTGGTGTGATTCAGTGGACCTCTGAGACTGCCTTCCCCTACCGCCCACTCCCATTGACTTTGTGGCCTTGTTCCACCCCCCGCTCCCCGGTGCTGGCCCCTCCCCCCAACTGTTTGGGATAGGTTGTATATTTCCGGATTATTTACGCATACTGTTCCCTATGCATTTATTGACCCACGGAGCTATGCTCCGCCTTGCTCAGATTTGTTCCCCCACTACTGGAGGTATCCGCGCGGGAGGAGGGTCGCCTGCTACTGGTGAAAGGCCTGATAGGAGACCGGAAGGTAACTCTGGTGAACATCTATGCCCCTAACCAGGGCCAAGTAGCCTTTCTGGAACGGGTCTTGTTGCAAGTGGATGACTTCTGTGACGGCATATTGGTAGCTGGGGGCGACTTTAATTTGCACCTAGATCCGGAGACAGATTCCACTAATCCGACTTCTCACTTGCCCTTTGCTGCGCTACGACGCCTCAAAAAGTGTTTATATGCCCACCAGCTGTCAGATGTTTGGCGCATACACCACCCTAACACTAGGGATTATTCCTTTCATTCCCCGGTCCATGACTCCTACACACGTATTGACCTTTTCCTGGTACATCACAGCAACCTGCCATCGATTTCGTACACGGAGATCGGCAACATCACATATTCCGACCACACCCGATTATGCTCACACTGGAGCTTGGCCCTCAAGAGCCACGTTGTTGGCAATGGCGACTGAATGAGACGCTCATACAGGACCCGGGGCTTGCCCCAGAGATCGAACGCGACTTGCGCACCTATTTTGAACTGAACTCTACACCGAACGGTTCGCCCTACACCATATGGGAGGCTCACAAAACCTACATGAAGGGGCACCCTGATTAGAATGGGCGCCCGACGCAAGAAACAATGGCTAGGACAGCAATCTACACTCTTAACACAGAATCATACGCTTGAACTATTGCACAAACGGCGTCAGGACCCAACCCTACTATCTCAGTTACGCACTCTACGTGACTCACTGCGGTCTCTATATTTGGACAGAGCCAAAGCTACTCTATCCAAATGTCGCCAGCACTTCTATGAGTACAGTAACCAGTGTAGCCGCTCCCTTGCACAGGCACCTCGTCAACAACGCTCCCGTACCTACGTCCCGGCGATCAAATCCTCCTCCGGAAGGCTATGTCACCTGTCGGATGACATCCTTTTTCGGGATTATTACTCGTCCCTCTATAATCTCCCTTGCCCACAGACTGCGCAGTCCCTGACGAAGCGACAACGACGCATCCGTGCCTACCTGGAGGCATCCACCATGCCCAGTCTCTCCCCCGATGTACGCACCTCTCTGGAGACCCCGATCTCAGCCACGGAGCTAGAGTCCGCCATAAAACTATCCAACACCGGAAAGGCTCCGGGTCCGGATGGCTTCCCACTCCTGTACTATAAAACTTTCCCCCTGCTGTTGTCCGCTCCGTTATTAGCGGCCTGGAACTCGGTGCGGGAGGGATGCCCCCTTCCGAGACATGCTTTGTCGGCCCATGTAGTTGTGATCCCCAAACCCGATAAAGACCCAATGGTGTGCCCCAGTTACCGCCCGATCTCCCTCCTGAATGTCGACTCTAAATTTAGAGTTGGGCCCGGGCATGCTCTCATGGATTCTAGCTTTATATTCCCACCCGACGGCCAGGGCATGCGTCAACGGTGCACTATCAACTGCGTTCACAATTTCCAACGGTACTAGACAGGGCTGCCCATTCTCACCTCTCATTTTTATTTCGACCCTTGAACCCCTGCTCTTGAACCCCTGCTCCGCACCATTCGAGCTCACCCAGACATCCAAGGCATTACCATGGGTAAACACATACACAAGATAGCAGCATACGCGGACGATCTCTTGTTTATCCTCTCGGTCCCGGACATGACTATACCTTACCTGTTGTCTGTCTTGCAGCGGTACAGCGAGTTGTCGAACTACCATATCAACACTCAGAAGCTCTGAACCCGACTTTAAAGGAACTTTCCCCATCAATGGTCTTCAACATCACTCAAATATTTGGGTATATTGCTCCCTTGAAAGCTGACGGACACCTACAATCTTAACTTCCCCCCATTGTTACAAAAGGTTAAATCAGACCTTCAGGGATGGTCCCGCTCTACGTTTACCTGGACAGGGCGCTGTAATGTCATCAAGCAAAACATCCTCCCACGCTTACTTTATCCTTTTCAGGCCCTTCCGGTCGCAATTCCACGTTCCTTCTTTATAGGCTGCATTAAGAAACTTTTTATGGGCCGGTAAGGTCCTTAGGCTCCGGCTGTCGATCTTGCGACGCCCCAAGACAGCGGGAGGTCTCGCACTCCCCGCCTTCCATATCTATTACGTAGCCTCTCAGCTGGCCCGAGTGATTGATTGGTGCCGCCATGGCGACACAAAGCCCTGGATAGAGTTGGAACAATCAATGACCAGTATCCCTCTACCAGTCCTACTGTGGTATAAGGGGCCATTACCCAGAGCAACTAGAGCACACCCGACAATAGGGCCTACTTGGCGGGTGGCCCGATGGGCGTTCGAGGGGAAGTAATTGTCCCCGGCTCCCTCACCTATGCAGCCGATCGTTGGTAACCCGCATTTTCCCCCGGGTATGGAGGATGGCCTGTTTCGCCGTCTTCTTGCCAGGGGCAAGTTTCACGTGCTACATTTTCTTAAAGGTCTTTTATGGCAATCCCTAGGGGACTTCTCCTCGGACCCTGACTTAGAGAATCTTGGAATCTGGCGACACCTCCAGCTGTCACACTTTCTCTCCTTGCTTCCTACACCTTCTTCACACGCATGGAACCTTTCAATCTTTGAACAAACATGCTCTGCCATAGGTCCCATGGCTAAAACACTTTCCCTTTGTTACCAGTTAGCACTAACCACAGATCTAGAGCTCCCGTTACACTTTTTTGAACGCTGGGAACAAGAATTGGAGATTCAATTCTCGCAGGAAGAACAAACTCGAATGCTGCCATACTCCCTGAGGTCATCCATTTGGAACAAATACCAAGAACTAGGCTACAAAATCCTAACGCGGTGGTACAGAACCCCTCATAGACTTCATCAGATGTTCCGAATTGCCAGACACGTGCTGGCGCTCTGGCTCCTTCCCTGCAGATATGAGGTCATACTGGATAGAATACACCACCTACACATACCTATTCTCTATGGTTGTAATGATCGAGTTTGCCACACTTGATATCTGTGACCATATTATTGATGGACTCTGTTTGTATGGGATGTTCTCTAAGAACAAATAAATAATTTAACCCCTTCGTGACTGACGACGTACAGTGTACGTCGCCAGCATCAGGGCTGTTTAAACAGACTCCCGGCGACTTTTGCCACCGGGAGTCTGTTTAAACTTGTAGAGCCGACTGTCGGCTTTACAACAGAAGCGATTCTGGCGACTTACCTGTCGCCAGATCGCTTCTGTGTCCCGAAGAAGGGGCCCCCCCGCCGCCGTGCTTCCCGGGCTCCGTTGCCCCTCCTACGGGCCCGGGACCGGCGTCCTTGGTGTCCGCAGGGAGCTGGGGAGGAGGTCGACGAACTTCCGTTCATCGATCCCCTCCCCGTTCTATGGGACCGGGAGCGATGCAGATTGCATCACTTCTGGTCCCTGGGCTGTCAGTTCTGGGCTCCTGCAGCCCAGCTATAAGCTATTGATGTGCGATCTGCACTTCAATAGCTTATTTCCAGTGTAAAGGTGACACTGGGGGTCTTTTGGACCCCCAGCATCATTTTAAAGAGTACCTGTCACCACCATCTGCTATCACATGGGGGGACAGGTACTCGGGACACAGAAGCGATCTGGCGTATTTTGTTGTGTTTTAGGGCATTTAATTCAATTTATCACTAAATTTTGGGGTTTAATAAGGAGTTGCGCTAATATTGCGCAACATAAACATTTGCAACTACCACCATTATATTGTATAGGGTCTTGGCATTCAGAAAATATATAATGTGTGGGGGTTTTAAGTAATTTTCAGGCCTAAAATGTGGAATATAACATGGGTGCAATAAATGAAAAAAAGGCCTCAGTACATTCAAGTACCTTACAAGTCCTTCCTTCTGGAAGGTGTCTACATTTGTTCTCCATGGTCCCTGTGTGTGTTGTAAAGTAGTCACCACTTAAAGCTGACTCCCATGATGGACTACAATCTCAATACAAATTAGTAAACCAAATGTACTGATGCACTACAATCTCACATCAGTTTAAACATGTGTCATCGATAAAAGAATAAAAATAAAACTGATGCAGAACCATTAAAGTCCTTTATACTACAAGGATTATGTAAATGCCCCATCACTGGAGTGAGAACTCGCCTTCAGAGCCTGATTGAAGCTCTCCACCAGACCGATCCACTGTGTTGTCTGCTTTGCAAACTGTGCAGCCTGTATCTGCAGGGTCTTCACTTCGTGGTCCAGCTTTCTTTGATTAACGTACGCCTGTGCCACCCTAAAATAAGTTATGACACATAAAAGAAAAAGGTGGAACATAAATATGCTATTCTTTAGAGAAGAAGTACACCCTTACACACACAGTTTAATAATGAGTCAGGTATCTGCATAGAAAAACACACAACAGCCTCTAACATCTCTGGGAATACAAGAGCTCCCTCTGCTGGATTTCTCTCCCCCTGCACCCATCACACTCAAAGTTTTATCGTTGGGCAGTACAAGGGAATCCGGCAAACCCTGCTGAATTCTACACAAAGGCCTACTACTGAATGAAACAGTAATGTACAGAACATAGAGCAAGGAGACATCTGTGTACTGGAGCCCTGGATATGTCTACCCTGCAGCTGGACAAATTCTGGGAGCCACAGAGGCAATGTTTCTATTAAAAGCTGGCACCTAACTTTTGAGGTTCAGGGTGGGGGGTGGGGGAGTTAAATGAATGTATGAGTGGAATGAAATTGATAAATTAGGAAATTATATAATACTCAAGATAATTTTTTATAGGATATGTTCTAAATAACGCTTATTAAATTAAGACATTAGAATGAGCATATGTATTTATCCATTACGATTTTTTGTGTGTATATTATGTATATGATATGTGATAATTTATAGAGCTGAAAATTAATAAAGAGATTTTAAACAAACAAAAAAAAACACTTTTGAGGTTCTCTAGTTGCTGTCAATGGAGCTGGCTCCTAAAAATCCTGTTGGCTCCTGGATTGGACAAACTGGCTCTTGAATTCTATATGAATCTGTCCACCCCTGATCAATCCTGCATTTAGTATTTCAATAATCCACACTGAAATTAAAGTATGTGGCTATATTACTTATATGGCCACTGAATTAAGCTTTTTAATGTCACTGTTTCTATGTATACTGTAAAACGCAACAGAATATATATGATGTAATATAAATATAGGAAATACATTTCTCTGAACAAAATATAAAAATATTACCTGAGTGTTAACATCATGCTACACCCTATGCAGCTCATTCCATGAATAAGCTCAGCTATTCAATTAAATCAGTTTCATCTGTTTTGCCATAATCTCCTTCCTGTTAGGCCTCACCCACTGGAAGGCTCTGCAGAAGACTGCGACATCAGGAAAATATGGTCATTCCATTTACTGAATTAGAGGGTGTAGCTACTGGATGTGCAAAGCCTTCCTCTAATGAAAGCATTGTTTTTCAACACCATTGCTATACAGTGGAGCCAAGAAGTTACATTGTATACATTATGAAGAGCTATGAAATTTTTTTAAATGGTGTAATATAAAACCATTAACTTCTTACAGCATTTGATATATTTAAAGTGATATTAAAGCATCCTTTTCTTTTTAAACGTGTCCTACAAGGAGATCCACCTTTGCTGGAGGCTGTTGCTGTTTTTCTTTAAGAGTTGTTAATTCCTCGTTTTCTAGTGGGTCCCCGCAGGAATCTTCCCCCCGCCCACTGTACGGGTGCCACCATCGTTCTAATGGAGGCACCCGTGCCCGCAGTGGTTGTGTGCGTCAGCTTCAGATTTGAAGCCGACATCTTTTTTCTTCATAATACTAGGCGAGGCTCTGCCTCCCCTGACCTCACATCACTGATGGGTATGTATGTTTGTTTGTAGCAACCTGTATGTATGTTTTGCTTTATCTTGCTTTCCTGTAACTAAGTTTGGCGCACATAGCATTTTTGCCAAGTAAAGTACTTTAAATGCTTCCTAGTCAGTTTCCTTGAGCTGCAAGAACAGACAACAAAATAGAAATTTAAAGGAGAACTATGAGGTGAGTGGTTTTCACTCACCTCATAGTTCTAGCCGATCTGTGACAATGAGACTGTCACAGGTTGGCTCAGTAGATAGGGAGGTGAGCGAACACATACCGGCGTTCGCTCACCTCTCGATCCTGTCACGGCTCTCTGCCGTGACAGGGGAGGGGCTGGATTCCCCCCTCCGATCCGCCAGCGCTGACTGGCGGAACGGACGGGGAGGGGGCGGGTACAGCTGGCTCCACCTCTAGATAGGTAGAGCCAGCTGTCAGTCACGCAGCTGGGCGGAACCCGGGACAATTGTCGGTATCCGATTCAGCTGCGGTGTCTCAGTATACCGCGAGCAGCAGCTCGCGGTATACTGCGGCGTCTCAGTATACCGCGAGCTACAGCTCGCGGTATACTGAGCCTAGTGTGACGGGAGGATGCTAGTTTGTGTCCTCCCGTTACCCTAAGGAGAACTATAGGGAAAAGCCTTAACCCCATAGTTCTCCTTTAAGTTTTTCCAAGCATTACATTTGGGCTCGTCCTTGAGATTACCTTTACATCTTTGGGATTTGTAGTCCAAGCAAAACACATGGTCACCACTACCTCCCCACCAACCCAAAGAACAAGTAGAAACTACAAATGGTTCCGTTGTTTGAAGGTGGCCTGCAAAATAAGGTGCAGGCCTTTAAGTGGAAGTAAAGTATCTTTAATAATTGCCCACAGGAAGGTTTTTTTGTTCAAGTCTCTTCTGCCAAAAACGCTCCTACCTGCCTGTCAGCAAATTATTTTTTTTTGGTGCACATTATGTATGCGTAATCGGGGCAGAGACCCCCTCATGGCGAGATGAAGTAACTCCCATGTGCATGCGCAGGAGTTACATCATGTGGACCTATCACGACACTGAACCCGGAAGATGACCAAGAGAAGATGGCACTGGAGGGGATCCTTGCAAAGTAAGTCACCATAATGTATTAAATATGCTGTGACATATGCCGTCACATTATGACAAACATTTCATGTTTTTATTTGAGCACTTCAATGTAAAATACTTGCAAGTCGGTCTCGAAGCAGGTCAAATGTTAAAAGGAGGTTAACTGCAGGTTATGTGCACTCGTCACTAAATCAGAAGTGTCTTAAACTGATGTCAAACTGATCATACTGACACAAGCCTGACATCAGTGTACATATATTTCTAGAGCATCATTGTAATTGCAGAAAACAAAAACTTTTCTATGTGTCATGTTCACACTACAACACTGTGTTTAAACATTTTTCATGCACATAAAAAGCATATAAAACAAATCTAAAATGCAAATAAATGCAACACAAATGAAAAAAAAATAATTTACAACTTTTGGGCCACAACAGGAATCAGAATGATGTCAGAGGAAATACACCTTTAAAAACTGATACAAAAAAGAAGATAAATGCATGAAAACACGCATAAAACTAGCGATGTACTGAAAGTGCCATCTTTCGGCCAAAATTGCGGTGCATCCTTAGTTTCTCTCCTCCCTGCTGTGCACTGCTCTGTATCCCCTCTGACACAGAGCAGCGTCCAGCGCGGAAGAGAGAAACTGTCAGGAGCTGAGCAGGGCGGGGAGGAGAGAGCTGTGAGCGTGTCAAAGGAGCCCTCCTCCCCCGCACCATCCAGCTCGGCCTCCTATAACAGACCAAGACAGCGGTGTGTGGGCAGGGACAGCTACCAGAGGAGGCTAAGCCAATGGGGAGGGGGAGGAGTCAGTTGTGAAATGAGACCGAGCTCTCCTCCCCACACCGCCTGCTGCTCAGCCTCCTGTGAGAGCCGATCCAGGATGGAGAGCGGTATACTAACATTCAGTGATCGCTGAATGTTTGTAAGTAACTGGACATAGCATGAGTTACTATGTAGCAGTTATGAATGAATAGGAAGCGATCTACATCACTTCCTATTCATTCATGATTGTGGACATGATAACTCATATTATATCCACAATTTATGAATGAACAGGAACATAGTATAGAGGCTTCCTGTTCATCAAGTGCTGGGGCTGCAAAAAAAGAGATTGAGGACTCTGTGTCCTCAATAACTTTTTCTATTGTAAAAAGTATCAGGGGTCTGTTTAGACCCCTGATATTTCACCAAATCCCCCAGCAGTAAAGTTAAAAAAAACAAACATATTTAATAAAAATAAAGCAAAATGTAAAAGTTTAGAAAAAAAGAAATAAAATATTTAAAACATTTTTTTTTTTTAAAGTTTTGAAAAAAAAATAATTCAGTCTCGTCCTGACATTTTATTTATTCCTGGTTTCAAAAATTCAGTTTGGTGCACCTCTAATAAAAACACATGCCAATGCATATGAGCACATTTAGGGGGTGATTTACTAACCTAAAACGCACGCACGCACCAGGTGTGTGTGATTTTCACACAGCAAAACGTATTTAATCAACCAAAAAGTCTCTAAAAGCATATTTCCACTAATGCCATATATGGAAAAATCATGCACATGATGCATATATAATGCTGCTTCACAGTTTAGAGAAAAATGGTTAGCTCATGCATTTACATTCCTGCATTCATCAACGCAAGCAACACAACATAGAGCTAATTTACACAACATCACCTTGCAATTCATGCACAACACACCTGCTGGGTGTGCACACACTACAAAGGTGTCTAGATTCCACCAATTGATCATGCTGGGAGGGAACACACTACAGAGGTGTATACTTGTTCGTGGCGTGTTTATAAGGTTAGTAAATCAACCCCATAAAGTCAGGTCAAAGCAGATGCATCTTTAAACCGATTTTATCAGCATTCTAGCTGCGGTCTCACCAGGAGTGCTTTTTTGAGCTGTGAACTGAGACTTTTTTGGGAAGCAGCAATAACAGCTTAGTACTAGCCTATGAACAATGCTTGCTGCTTATGCTGCCCATGGAGAATCACATTCCCAAACATAGCCTCAGTGCCGACATCTTTGAAGTTTATGTTAGGAGCTCCTGACAGAGCCTGGTGACAGAGTGGCTGCGGGGTAACAGCAGCAGGAAGCTGAGAAAAAGAACAATCCAAAACACTCTGAAGAGAGAAAGCAATAGTAAGTGCAAGCATTTTGCAATGGAATGCTCAAATAGAAATAAAGAGTGGTGACAGGGCCTCTTTATAGAAAAAAAAGGAGGGCCAATGGGAGTCACGCCATGGAAAGGCAAGTTTTAGGCTGTAAAAAGCTTTATGGCTCCATGTAACCCCCCACAACTGAGCTCTGCATTAGATA